TTTTTTTTCAGGTACCGATGCCGATCTTATGGGGAAAGAATCGGCCGATGCCGATGCCGATTCCATAAAAAAATACAAATAAATGTATTAATTCATAAAATCAGTTCATTTCACGGAGCTAAAAAAAAAGAAAAGAAATAATTGAATTAATTGGCTTGTTATGCAACATTACATACACATGTATGAAGAAGCGTTATTTGGATTTTAGAATAGGCGATCGGATTTCAAGAAGCGTTAATTGGATTTCAGGATTGATAATTGGATTTTAGAATGTGCCAATTGGATTTAAGAAGTAGGCAATCAATTTTCGGAATACCTCAATTAGATTTCAGAAATCGTCCACTTTATTTTGGACTCATATACGTAAAATAAGAGACTATTGAGGACGACATTTTATTATAAGAATATTCACCGACTATCATATGACGTATAGCTTTTGCATCCGCATAGAATGTTGTGGCGTGTTGTGCTGCCCGACCGAAATCTCTTCCTGCTACTGTCGCTTTTGCTTCATCCATTTTCCTTTCGATATACATATGTATTGGAGCCGTTCGGGCACAAGAAAATTCGACTTCACATGATTTTTAATTTTAGACCATACCGTTTCTGTTGGATTAAGTATTGGAATGTATGGCCCCAAGCGTAACAACGTGCTCTTCCGTTTGTGAACTCATTTATTGTAGCTTCTAGCTTGCTGTGGCATGGTGCATTGTCGGAAATTACCACAACGTCGTCCAAAGCATTACTTTGTCCAACCCTTCGACGTAACACTGTAACTCGTTGCCGGTCCATTGCGACAGCTCCACTGGGTGATATATCACCCACTAAGAGTACGTAGAGTGCCTTTTCTGCCGGATACTGCTGAACTGCGCGATGGCCAACTCTTGATCGTCCTTGTGTATTCCAGCAAAAGAGTTTAAAGTTCGTTTCGTCAATCCAGATAATTTGGTGGGCTGATTGAATATAACTGTTTACATCGTGCACATATTGCGCTCGCTTCGCGTTGTTTAGCGAACTGTTCATTGTCACGGGTTCAACATGTAACTTTTCAATAGTGTAGAGTATGCATTCCAAATAATTGGCAACTGTGGAACCCAAAACAGTTTTTTTTTTATAAGGAATTCACTGCTACCTCAGTGAAACATGCGGCCGATTTGTTTGCTGATTTTTTTTACGTCTAATTTCGCTTTGGACGAAGAAGTGTCCGACGATGATTTAGATTGTATTCGACGGAACCTTTCTTCTACCACGTCTTCTCCCCTTGACTTTGGCGCACCCGTTCTTTCCGATGAGGACATAATTAAAGGGATAAGATACATAAAAAATTCTTCGCACACTGGTGCTGATGGTCACTCGGCAATTCTATTTAAGAGTTGTGATTCGTTGATGGAACCGCTGAAATTATGATTCAACAAATCTTTATCATCTGGAGTTTTTATCGATGATTGGAAGCGAACTTCTATTACCCCAATATTTAAGATCGATTGTATGAATAATATTTCTAACTACAGACCAATCTCAAAACTCCTCAACCGTTGCCAAACTGTTTGAAGCTATCGTTAATGAGAAACTTTACTTTCACGTCGAACATTTGATCTGTTCTAAATAATCAACATGGTTATGTTGGCGCGAGATCTACGCTAACTAATCTTTCTGTCTTCACTGAAGACTGTTATGCAGTTTTTCGTCGAGGCGTGCAGGTGGATACGATTTAAACGGATTTCTCCAAAGCCTTTGACAAAATTTCCCACAAAATTCTTATAACTAAGTTGGAGTGCTTTGGCTTTCATTCAAATTTTTTAAAGTGGACTAAGTCCTACTTGTAAAGCTGGATAAGTGCGGTTGTCGTAGATGGTGTTGCTTCGGACCCTTTTGTTGCTATCTCAGGTGTGCCTCAGGGTAGCATATTAGGACCTCTATTCTTTAACCTGTTCATTAATGATATCTCTTCGTGTTTTTCATCTTCTAAGTTTCTGCTTTATGCGGATGACTAGAAACTTTACTCAGAGATTGGCTGCACCAATGACGTTACAGCTCTTCACCTGGAGCTTAATAAGCTTAATAATTGGTGCGTTAGGAATCGATGGTATCTAAAGATTGATAAATGTCACAAAGAGACGTTCACTAAACTGCACAATCCCTTGCACACATCGTATAGCATTGCAAACTCTACGCTTGAGTCGGTTAACGAAGTCAAGGATCTGGGGGTGTACTTTGACACTAAGTTTACGTTTGCTATGCATATTAATTATACGATAAAAAACTCGCTTGCTATGCTTGCATTTGTACGAAGGAACTCTTCTAATTTCTCAGATCCATACACACTTAAGATGCTGTTTTCTGCTTTTGTGCGATCTAAATTAGAATACGCGGCATTTATTTGGAGACCATATCATGCTATTCATATTAACAGGTTGTAGAGAGTTCAAAAAAATTTCCTCCGTTTCGCTAAACTTCATACTCCCGCTTCCGTCATATGAGTCTCGGTGCCGTCTAATCAGCCTTCTGTCCTTAAATGACAGAAGAACACTCTTGGCGATATCTTTTATATCTGACATTGCTAAAGGCAGGATTGACTCTCCCTTCTTGAGAGGTTGCACTTCAATGTTCCGAGTAGAAACCTCCGCCGCTTTCAGGTATTTCGTGTTGGCTTCAGCAAAACGGCATATAATGCTTATGCTCCTATTAATAGAACTCTAGCTGAGTTTAACGTCGTCGCAAATTCTTTAGACCTAGACTTATCAGTTTCCAAATCCGCTCTTAAAGTCATTTCCAGTAAAATCCAGTAAAAGTTTTTACGAATTGTCATGTTTTGGCGTTTACGTACGCAAAAAATTGCAAAGTAGGGGAAATTGAGAGAGCGAAAAATGACAGTTGAAGTTGCAAGTTTTTACTGGATTTTACTGGATAAATTTTTACTTGTAAGAATTTGCCAGTACGAAAAACAGCTGATAGCATGTTGCTGGATTAAATTTAAACTAATAAGGAAGCTGTTTGCGGGTTTTTATTGTTGGATTTCACAAAATAGATCTATTTAAATATAAAATATATTGTTTTATTAGGAATTTGCTGCGAATAAACATCCAATTTATCAGCTGTTCATCAAACTTGCAAATTATTACTGGAATAGCGTTCGCGTACTTTTTTGAAAATTTTTTCTATGAGAGCGAATTCTTAGAAATAAAGTTACTGGAGAGTTACTGGCAAGTTACTGGATAATTTTTAAACAAACACAACTAGTGTAATTAAACTAGTAATATTCTCCAACATGTGTAGTCTGTAAGAATATTTTTGTTCATTGACTTCAGTAATAAATAAATAAATAAAGACGTGGGGCGAAACCCGCGGATAAAACCCTGCAATAACAGTGACTATCATTTGACAAATCATTTAAGTGGAAAACTTGGTGCAATCCCGTATTCCTCGGACTCGGACTAGTAAAACTGTCAAAAAATAAAAATTCGCTCAGAGCGAGAGAGTAACATTGAAAAGTATGGGATCGCTTTCTAGTAAAAAATGGTAACTTCTGTTAACTTCAACATAACCTCCAAATTTTGGTTGTAAATTTTTGCTTATTTTGTATGTTAACACACTCAGCTCACACATGTAAATAACCAAAAATACTTTCAAATTCATTAGAATCCACTTAAACAAGTTGTTAGCGCAGTTACTTGCTTGTTCATTTGAATGTATTAGTCTATTTGTACCTTAATGTTGTTAGAGTAGTCACTTGCTTGTTCAAGCGAGCCAATCCTCTGAATGTACCATAATGTAATGTAACGATTGTTATCGATTTCTAATTTTGTAAAAACGACCACATCACTAATGAAAAAACTCATTCGTGATCTGGAGTTTTAAGCGGAGGAAGCACACAAAAGTGTAAGAGTTGTTTTTTATTGAAAAATTATTAATTGTAACCTAACGTATGTGTATTTTTTAGGAAATAAAGCATCACGCCTTGTAAAGCGTTTTTCTCAGCAAGGCTAGCTCTTATTTTTTCGTTCCTCGCCAGATCACGTTTCAACACAAGTAATTAAATACTTTTCAACATGAATTAGCAGAGTGTACTTTTCTTTTGTTTACAATTTGGTTGCCAAACACACTACAGCTGATCGTTTGACACATTTACCAGAATTTACCAGCAAAAAATTTTCGGACTAAAACTGGTAACTTCTGACAGAGAGAGAAACGTATTTACTCTCTTTTTTGTCCTCTCAATAGTCAGAAAATCGAGTACGGGATCGATTTCCAGTAAAATCTGACTGATTCTGACTATTTCTGACTAGTCCGGACTCGTACGGGATCGCAACTACTGATAGAGATGTAAATATTTGTGTACATGTGATCTTCCGTCTTCCTCCAACTTATGGCCTTATTTAATGGTCTCTTTTTAACCAACGCAAAATTTGCAAATGTGTTAGTAATATAAATGAGAATGTGTTAGTTTCCATCACACAATTCTTGTACAGTAAACAGGAAGGTCAGGATATTTTGACTACGCTAATCTCAAAAACCACTGAACGGATTTATACGAGATTTTTTAAGTATAATCTGCATCGATAGAAATATTATCCTTAGTACTTTAAATTCCTATAGGGTTGCCACCTGTCTAAAAAATTATTAGATCCGCACTGTTCGTTGGATTACAAGAAATGAGGTGTCAAAAAAAAGGGCTCGGCTTTTAGATGTTCAATAATTTATTACTTTCTGAGTAGGGTTGCCACTTTTTAAAAATTATAAGATCTTCACCGTTTGTTGGACTAAAAACTGAGGTAGCAAGTGAAAGGATATGGTCTCTGTATGTGCAATAAGGTTTTATTTTTTATTTAAAAATTATGTATGTATAATACGCGAGGGCATTTTTTGTTAATGACATTAGATTTGCACAGTTCATTCAATTTAAAAAAAAATGAGGTGTCAAATGAAAAGGCTTGACCTTCGAATTGCAGTAAGGTTTTATTTTTCGAAGAGGGCTGCAACCTGTGCGAAAAATTTAAAATTGTGGGCTGCTCGTTAGATTGCAAGAAATCAAGTGCCAAATGAAAGGACTTGGCCTCGGGATGCGCAGTTATAAATTATTTTTTTAGTAGGGTTGAAACCTGTTTAGTGGTTAATCGCATCTTATTTAATATCTACACATTCAGCGCGTGGCGAAGCCTCGCGTCTACGAGGCCGTCTAGTATTATCTATATATAAAAACGCCACAAGAAAATTTTGCAATCCCTTTTTTGGAGGCACTGTTCGCTCGATTACAATATAACTTCCTCTAATCCAGAAATGTTATTCCCGATACATAGGCGCGTGGCATCTGACATATAGACTAAAATGTAAAAACCACTATATCTCTAAAACCAATTATGCTGCGGAACTGAAACTTAGCACAGATGCATAGATTGTAACTAAATACCCTACTTACGGTGAAAAATGGTATGTACTTGGAAAGTGGGCGTGGCACTTCCCATACAAACCGAAATTCTCATATCGCTTTTCTCTGGAACCACCTATGCTAACGTCCTGAAATTGGACACAGCAACATATGTTGTCAATACCGTACTTTCGGCAAAAAGTGGTAGTTTTTGGAAGAGGGGACGTGGTACCGCCCATTAAAAACTGAAATTCTCATATCGGTTATCTCTGCAACCGCTTATTATACGGTAATGGAATTTTATACACCTACATTTATACACATATAAAATCGCAAGAATCATTCAATTGGGAACGATTTTCTCCCAGATTTTAAAATGGCATTGAATAATTGTTGTTTTGTGCAAAACTTTTAAGAAGGATCAGTGCGTTTGCCTTCCGATAGATTCCGCAGGGATTGAAATCATATTTATGATCAGATTTGTTTCACTTTTAGAACACATATGAGTAGTCCACTTGCAAACAGCGTTATGTGATTTTATAATAGAAAGCCATAAATTTGAAAAAAAAAACGAATATAAAAAGATGTTGCACTGTGTTGTTACAAAGAACGTAAATCTATAAGAAGAGACAACACGTTATAATTGTAACGAGTGGGAACATCAGGAGCGTTCTTTCTCTTTTACCCAAATACGTTTTGTGATTGGATGAAAAGAGAAGGTGCGCTCCTGATGTTCACACTCGCTACAATTATAACGTGTAGTCTCCTCTTATAGATTTACGATCTTTGGTTGTTAGTAGACATGAAATAACTTGAAATACTGGTACGTTATCCACCAAAAACTAAAAATCCAAAAAATTGTACATAGCGCACTTTGCAAGTGGACTACTCATATGAGTAACATAAAATTTTGTGTAACTTGGTAGCCCAGTCGTGTGATGAAAAAATATTGGGCTTTGGCCATGATGCAATAATGAAAGGTGTTGTACGTTGTGACAGCTCGAAATCGAACTACCTTAGGTCAATATTGTATTTTGGAAGTACAAGAAAAACGGGAAGAAAAAAAGCCCTTTAGTTGAAAAAGTACTCAATTTTATGCCTTCTCAACAGCGTTCCGATTATCTGAATAGGTATACATATGGCTTGGTAGTCTCATAAAGTTGTAGATAATTAAAATAATATAATAAGGCGTGTTTTTATTCACAGGAATATGATAATATGCTTAAAATTTTTGAGCTGATGAATACCCAGCTAGAACAGTATGGCATATATAACTCCTTATATAAGCCGCATCACTAAGAAAATTATCCCTTGTGAATTTGAAATGTTTCCCTTATATTGTACAGGCCAAATAGAGGAATTAATTTACGTGTGATCTTTTGTCCCCCTATTTCATATGGGCTTCTTGTGCGCATATATCAGGTTTCATAGCTGTTGGCCATACCAATTCGTGTTCTCGAGAAAAAAAAAATGTCACGATTCAAAAATCTGATCTGATCTGATGGCCAAATTCTTTTCTAAAAATTTTGAAAATTCTTCGTTTTTTGGCCTATATTTGCTTTGTATGGTATTTGCCATAAAATATAGGCCAAAAACGATAAATGTTCAAAATTTGGAGAAAAAAGATTTTTCAGATTTTTGGATCGTGAAAATTTTTTTCTCGGAGAACACGAATCGATCTAGTAAATCTGAGTATGAGGCATTATTGGTATGCCAACAGCTATCAAGCCTGATATATTCGCACTAAGGTTTTGTTGTGTTCCACAGTGTTATATAAGGGATACTTTGAGGAATCATATAAACAATTATACATACATTACCCAAGTTCACGTACATCCAAATTATTTATTTGTTTTTGAAATTAACAATATATTTCAGAATTTATAATTAATACGTTGTGTTCATTTTAGTAAATCCACTTTGATTTTTAATTGTACAAAATTTATTATATACATACAGTATCGGTCATATCAATAGCAACCCTATTTCAAAGTGATATTATTTCCCTCTCATGTTAATTTATTTCTATTTCTATTTGAGCACTCAGTTTTATAGCCCCTTCAATTTTAGTCTTATTATATGCAAGTTTGAATTGGCTAAAAATTACCTTTGATTTTTTTTTTCTTTTTTTAAAAAGCAATCGCATTTTTGGCTAGTATGTATCAGGAAGAATGGATAAGGATTGAGCCAAGAACTTGTGTGAGCAAATCCAATTTTTAGCAACAAATGTCAGTTACGCGGTTTTGTACTTAAACGACGATGCTTATATTAACACGAACGCTGCAATTTAATACACGGGTGAAGCAGTAACGCAGCACAGCAGAAGCATACAAACAATCTGCAAATAATGGCTTTTTAGGTTTTTAACAAACAAAAACCTGGTTTCACCTTACTTCAACGTGTCTAAAGCACAACGCACACACTAATGCAAAGGCGCAACTGGGACGCAACACTATAAAACACGGGCGGAGCAATACACGGGCGGAGCAGGAACGCAGCACAGCAGAAGCGTCCACAAAATCTGCAAATAAATGGTTCATTAGGTTTTGAAATAACAAAGAGCTGGTTCCAACTTACTTCAAAATATCTGCAGGATGATGCACACAATCAAATTCGGCCGCAGCTGCAGTTCACCAGAGAATGCTGCAAATGGAATGGTTCATCAATGAAGTCAAAATAATATGTTGTAACTTACGTGTATTAGCTCTTAATTACAATACCAGCACAGGTCGGCCAGGAAAACACTAAGGAAATTACCTAATAAATGCAAAATTATAATTAATTTGTAAAATAATTCGGTTTTATTACAATACTTACCAAATTTCAAGCAATTAGAAAACAAATGTCAGCGAATAAGAACAAAACGAACAACGAAAATTGAATCAATGTAGCTTGTTTAGAATTTTTTTCTAATATTTTGGGAAATGTTCAGTGAAATTAGCAAAGAAACAACACAGTTTCTCCTAAGGTAGTTCAAGATGGCGGATTAGAGCGAGAAGTTGCCAACGTATAACACCTTTCATTATTGCATCATGGGCTTTGGCCCAGTCTTGACAAAAACCAGTGTGACACCGCCGTTAGAGAAGGAAATATTATCTTTTGTTGTAAACCCTCAAGATACTTTCTCGACCGTTAACGATTCTGATGAAAAAAGAAAGAGTTTTTGTATGTAGATGTGGGCAATTTAGTTTTTAACCTCCAAGAGGATCTCTGACGAATATAATCCAAAAACTTATTTACAGTTTGAATTGGTATATGTTTGATATATTAGTCAGTGATGAACATCTCATCTATACATACAAATACATATGGATATTTTTGATAAATGAAAATCGAGGTTCCTTTTTTCATCTAATTTCAAAAGCCACTGAATAAATTTTGAGGAGACTTTGTGGAATTAGCATTAATCAATCCAGTATTAACGTTCACAATTATATTTTAAGTTTTCCTATGAATTATGCTGGTGGACTTCAAAATAGTAATTCGCATAAAGGAGTTAGTATTGGTGACAGGTAAAATTCAAAAGTGTATGAAAAAAGATGTCGAATTTCGACAACTGGGCGATACTAGTTTAAATAAATCGCAGTCTGTGTAAAAGAGGAAATTTTAATAATGGTCCCGTTTTAGCCATCATAAATTTAAAAATAAATTTTGGACATTCAGCGCGTGGCGAAGCCTCGCGTATACCAGTCCGTCTTGTATTTAAATAAATCGCAGTGTGTGTTTATTAAAAAAAAAAACATAAACAAATTTATTTATGAAAAAACATCAAAAGCAAGGAGTGGATTGAATAAAAGCCACTTTAAGAACACCATCGCTGAACCAAATATTTATTTATTTTTTGTTAGTCTTGGTTTCGCTATCTAAATGTTTAACTTTCTCCTGTCATCTGTGTTGATCTTTGCTACATATGTATAATGTGATATATATTTTATTTTATTTTTGTTTTAAGTAATCTGTATGTACTTTATTTTACTGGTATTTTTAATCTCTGTTTTGTACTATAAAAGATCTATGATCTTATTGTACTAATATTTTTTCTCTTAATAAATGAAATGAAATGAAATAAGTGAGGAAGTTTTAATAATGGTCCCGTTTTAGCCATCAGAAATTTAAAAATAAATTTTAGACATTTGTACGAGCCGTAGTCGACACATTTGTCTTGAAAAACGACCGAATCATGCAAATATTTACTCACATTTCAAAAATTCATTTACATTTTAGGGTATATAAAAAACTGCTCCTTTTCCGTACGTTCGCATTTTCCAGTCAAAAATCCCTACATGATTCGTCGTTTGTCTTCGTAGCGTATGGACGTGTGAGAAGTTGCAGCGGAATTTTGGAAGTGTTGCTGAAGAGTGGTGGCAGTTATCAATTTATCTGGTGTTCGACGCATAATATTAGTTTGAATTTATTAAAGTTATAGTTGCTGATTAAAGTTGTTAAATACAATATAGGCACATTATTGTACACCTGAGTAGAGGTGTGTGAGCTCAAATTGTCGTTTTATATCGGGTGAGTGCTTTTTCTGTGGCTGAAAATTTTCTAAATTATAAGTAGCGGTTGTTTCATACACAAAATGGCGGACGCCTCGGCGTCGCCGAGTGATGCCATCATGGCCGGCGTGTCTTATGGACCAACGCCTGCTATTATGGGTAAAAATGCAAAGACTAGAAAAAAAGGGAGACCTGCTCCAATTAATGCCAAAAAAAAGAAAGATAGTGGCATGCAAAATGCGAATTCCTTACTAGAAAACTTCTCTGATTCTAGCGAGGATATTAATTTTGTGCAAAATGAGCCTGAAATTCCACTTAGTGGCATGCTCGTGAAGCGTGGTACGTACAAGTTAGTTCAAACTAATCCCAGTGAAAATTGTGATACTGTGTCGGGTACAGTTATGACCAAAATTGTTTTTTGCGAGAGTGATGGTGAAGGTAAGGGGATTTGTGCCAGTGATGAGGGGGCGCACATGGAAATAGGCGACCAGGGCAAAATTAATGGAGATGATGGGGTTTACTTAAATTCCGGCAATTGCAATAATAGGACTGAAAAGAATAAGACGGGTGTGACAAATGTGAAGAGTAGTGACTGCTCAGCGTTTCCCGATGGAAATGCTGTGACTAGCCTTAGGCAAGTTGTTGACGACGGTTATCGGACTGAGCATACGGCTGTGAACACAGGTGGGGTACAGGTGATGTCAAATGAGCGTGGAGTTAAAGGCGCTGTTTCCAAAAATCAGAATAAAGAGTCTTCAAAAACTGGTGATAGTGCTGGTAATGATAGTGGGTACAGTCAATTATATCAAGTTGGCTATAGGGGGGAAGCTATTGTACTCATGGACACTTCCAAAAGTGTTAATTTTGAGAACAAAAGGTTGAAGAATGGACTTTTTTTATTTGATAAAATTCGGAAATTTAATTTAGAAGGGATGGACAACATCCTAGCCGTTGGAAGGTCCTTGTACAAGGTATTTTTCAACTCGATCGAAAATGCAAACAAGAGTGTTAGTAACAGCAAATTAAAAGAGATGGGTATTCGGGTTTTTATACCGAGAAGTTTTATGGAGACGTATGGAGTAATACGACAAGTGCCATTGGATTTTCAAGAGGATGAGATTTTTAACAACATGCAATCCAATATAAAAGTTAAGTCCATTTCTCGCATCACGAGGCGTGATCCGGACAATAAAGATAGATTTTTACCTACATTTTCTATCAAGATTGGGTTTGAGGGTAATGCGATCCCTGAAACTATTAAGATTTTTTGCGTGAACTTTAAGGTGTGCCACTTTTTCCCCAGGGCAAAACAGTGCTTCAACTGCGGGAGGTTAGGCCACACCAAATTATCTTGTAGAGCCAAAAACCGATGTATCATTTGTGGTAAAGACGAGAGGTATGTAGGAAAGTGTACTGGAAGTGAGACTAAATGTATTTTGTGCGGTGGGGATGATCATGTGTCTGTCAACAAGAATAAGTGCCCAAGTTGGGAAAAAGAGAAAAATGTAATTGAGATTATGACGATAAAGAAGATGTCGAAGCGCGAGGTCTATGACTCGTATGGGGATACACTATCCAATAACAGATTTTCTATTTTAGAAGATTATGGTACAAATTTTCCCGTATTAGGTGGGAATGGTGGAAATATACAAGATAATGAGGTTATAGTTAATAGGACTCTGACTAAGAAGAGGTATAATCAGGTGACAAAAATGAATGTGAGGCAGGAAAGGGTAGTAAATAGTAAAAGCAAAAGTACTGAGATAAAAGGAGGTAGTAAACCGGTTTTTGAAAATACTAAGTGGGAGAGAACATCGGAGATTGAAAAGCTTTTAAATTTGTTAGTTGAAAAGTTTAATATTCAAGCGGATGAACCTATATTAAAGGTTTTAAGTCTTCTGGTTAAAGAAAATGTGAATGACAGACTTAAAGTTAGTTCAATCAATGATGGCAGTAAAGATTTTACAACTTAATTGTCAGAGCCTGAAAGCTAATCGTAGCTACATTGAATATTTTATTGAGCACAACAGTATTGATATTGTTGTTCTCCAGGAAGTGTTTTCCTTGGGGGATATTAAAGAAGGTCACAAGTTAATAGACTTTAATTTAGTTATTAAGAATCGTCCTGATGGATATGGAGGAGTTGCTATAGGGGGTAGGAAGAATATAAAGTTGCAGCGTGTAAGGTTTAATACAGTACATGACATAATAGTGGTTAAAACTACAAATCTTGATAGAAATCTGTTGATTGTTTCAGCATATTTTCCGCCTGGAACGAATAGGTTTCTTTTGGATTATGAGTTGAGTAAATTGTTATTGTTTTTGGATGGTAAAGAAGAGGTTCTGCTGCTTGGTGATTTTAATGCCAAAATGCGGGACTGGGGGTGTAATAAAGACGATCCTAAGGGTAGAGTGCTCAAAAATGCTACTATGAAGGCTGGGCTGGTATGTTTAAATAATGGCAATCCGACTTTTGTGGTAAATAGGGTGACTCAGCAGGGTTTATCTGTGCTGGATCTATCGTTCACAAATATTTCTGGAGGGTTAAAATGGGAATGTAATCTGGGATATGTTGGGGGAAGCCATCATAGGCCTATTGTTATTGAAGTAGAAAATGTAGCTAAAAGGCCTAATATGTTTTTGCAAAAGAGAAAACTTGCTTCTGCTCTTGCGGGTTGTGTTGTTAGTGGGGGGCTGGATAGTATTGTAAATGCAGTACAAAATGAGATTAAGAATGCGTCAATTGATTTAAATTCTCTCAAAAGATCCCCTAAGGCTTGGTGGAATGAGGAGCTAAAAAAGCGTTTTAGGCTGGTTTTGGCGGCGAGGAAAAAAGCTGCTTTAACGAACCGTGTTCAGGATTTTGAAAAACTCCGACAATTAGAGGAGGTGTGGAAGAAAGAGGTAAAAGAGGCCAAAAGTAATAGTTACAAATCTAGAATAATGCAATTGAATGAATGTCCAAACTCTGGTGATGCTTGGAGATTTGTTAATCAAGTTAAAGGAGGTAGATATGGTACTAAGTGGATTAGTGAGGATAACGGCAGATATCTCACCCATCTTAAGAATCAGGTGGATCAGCAGGGTGGCAACAGTGGTTGGCGAGTCTTAAGTGGACCCAGTATGGTTAATGAAAGAGATGAGGTAGTTAGTTTCTTGGTTGAGGATCTGGATGTAGTGTTAAAACGTAAAAAGAAATCTGCTGGTGGAGCTGACAGAATTACGTTTGATATGGTCAATAAACTGCCATATGAAACGAAATTATGTCTTGTGAGAGAGTTAGAATCTTGTTTCAATAGTAACATTGTAAAAGAGGAGTGGAGAACGATTAAGATTGTTCCGATTCCAAAAGCCAATAAAGATTTAAGTGATTTTAGGAATTTTAGGCCGATTTCATTACTTTCTGTTGTGGTGAAATGTCTGAACATGTTAATTAAGGATAGATTGAATAATTGGGTTGAAAGTAACAATATCTTACCATGCAATAGCTTTGCGTATCGCAAAGGGAAGTCGGCCTCGATGTGCCTAAATGAATGCTTGCATTGGGCTAGTAGGCTTAAACAAGGGAAAAAGAAAGTGTTTATGTGTGTATTAGATATATCTGATGCTTATAATTGTGTTGATATCTCACTGCTGGGGGAAATTTTGGCTGGGTTTAGGGTGGAAAATAAGATTCGTAACTGGGTGGTAAATTTCTTTTCCAGGAGGGTTTTGGTTTTGGGAAAAGATAGGGTGGAGGTTTCAAATGGTCTTCCTCAAGGTAGCTGGTTATCGCCACTGTTGTTTAACCTATATACTGCAAGTTTGCACTGCTTGGGTGATGATAACATAAAAGTCTTTCAGTTTGCTGATGATTTTGCGCTATTATGTAGCGGGAACAGTTATTGTGAGGCAATTGATAGGTTAAATTTTAAGTTAAATGAAATTAGAACCATGCTTAATAGCTTAAATCTGAATATTAATGTCAGTAAAACTAAATTTCTATTAATGAATTCAACTAGTAATAAAACTTTTTCGCTTAGACTGGATGGGACGGAAGTGCAGCAGGTAAAGAGTATTAAATGGCTGGGTAGGACCATTTGTGCTAATGCGTCAATAAGTAATCATGTGGATAAGGTAAAAAGCGCTGCAAGTTCAGGCAAAAATCTGATTAAGAAGCTTACGACTATTAAGGGGGGGTTGGAACCCAAAGTGGCTATCAACTTCTATAAAGCCTTTATTAGAAGTAAAGCTGAATATGCCAACACGACTTATGCTAATGCTCCTCGAGGGTTTAATAAGAAACTGCAGGGTATTTCAAATGATACGCTAAGGAGGTGTCTAGGGCTTCCACCAAGTTCTCCTATTCATGCGAGATTTGCATTGGCTGGTGAGCTGCCGCCTCTTAAAAGGGCGGAATGGCTTGTGGCCAAGGAATTAGGCAAGCAATGGCTTGTGAATGAAGAACTGAGGAAAGATCTGATGGGCGAGAGCTCTGTTAAATCGAGCTACAGTTTTATTTATTCCAAGTTTCGACATCTATTTAACAAAATTAATGTAAATGTTACTTTTAGTAGACATACTAATTTTCGTGTGGAGACAAGCAGTTAGCTTTTTACTTAAAAAAAACATAAACAGGTGGGTCATAGTCACGGATAGTCTAGCGGCGGTACGTTTGATAGGAAAAAAGGCTTCTACAAATTTTATAGTTGCGTCCATTCACAATATGATTGCTAAGTCAAATTGCGTCAGTGCCATGTTGGTGTGGGTGCCTAGTCATGTAGGTATTGGAATTAACGAAAAAGCGGATCATTTTGCAAGAGCTGCAGTTAGTGAGGGATTACCCATCGAAATGGATCTCACCTTGGGGGAGGCTGTATGCAAATTCAAAGTGCTATTTGGACTGAGTGGGAAGTGGAGTTTAGAGAAATTAGTTGTACTAAAGGTAGTTTTTTTGCGGGTAATATCAGTGATATCAAAAGGCGTCCTTGGTTTACTGACAAAAAATGTAATTTTGGTGTTCATGATATCAAATTAGTTAACAGGTTGATGATGGGACACACATATGGTAGGACGTTTCTAAGCAAATTTCTAAGAGGTGTAAATGATTTATGTGATGTATGTGGAATCAGAGAGACTAGTGATCACCTTATTTTTCAGTGTAGTAAATTTTCAGCCGCTAGAAGCACGTATACCTTTTTTAACAATTGTAATAATTTAAAAGATTTTTTTAATAATTCTAATTTGTATCTTTTTAGTGAGCTAATACACTTTCTACACAAGGTAAAGCTGGACAAAGTCCTTTAGGGTTAATGAGATTGAAATATACATTAATAATAATAAGTATAGTAATATATGTGTACATATAGTTATGTATATTAGAAGAGTAGAGTTTGGATAAAAAAAAAAAAAAGAAAACAAAAAAAAGATAAAATTTCGAGTAATTGAAATTCGTATTGGTGATTTTTATTGCAAAAGACTGTTCATTAAATGATTGTATTGCATTTGTATGGCTGTGATTCGCACCCTTGTAGTGCTTACTAAAGTACAATTCGAGTACAAATTATTAAAAAAAAAAAAAATATATAAATAATTTAAATTATAAGAATAATATTAATTAAGAATGGAGTCAATGTATTCTTTTTTAAAAAAAAAAAAGTAGATTACAATTTTTTTTTGGGTGTAATCCCAAATTTCTGAAGTGCCTAAATTGCTTTGTGAGGTCAGTTTAAGTTACTTAGAGTTAGTTGATTATCTTACGTTTTGACTTCTAATTTTGTCACTGTGTAATTCTTTGCGTCTTAGTTTTTCTGTTTCAAGTTGTAAGCCACCACTCTTGGTCTTCGTGGGATCTTCCCTTCGCTGGACCTGCCTGTGTGGATATACGCTTACGACAAAGACGAATTAGAACTTGCTAAAGTTTGTTGGACAACCTGGCCCCTGAGGTTAATAAGATACCTGGCCAACGTTTTAATGTCTGACGACATTGCTAATTAAAAAAAAAAAAAAAAAAAAAAAAA